CACCAGGCCAGCAGCAGCTGGGAAAGGCTGGCATGAACAGTAACCCTCGTCCTTCGCCTCTGAGACGTGCTTCTGTACCAGTGCCTCACACGCACTCCTCAGACCCTTCCAGCCACCTGGACACCCACGAGGAAGGCAGGGCTCCTCCTGAGGACATGAGGCATGGATACTGAGGGTCTCGATCTGAATCCCACTGCCTGGGAATGGTCAGAGGTGATCTCTGAGCCCTCTTTCTCTGACCACAGATCTAGATTTCTTTCTACAAGATTCCAGAACAGAGATGGGTGGGGCATTTCACCCTATATCCTCTTGGTGATAGTGGCAGATGTGGATTCTAGAGGAACCATCCCAGTGGGAACCAGAAAAAGTGCCTGGATCCTCCGTCTCCTCCTCCCTTACCCAAACGCTCCTGACCCCACTAACCATGGAAAGGGCCTCGCCACGCCATGACACCAGGAATTGGGATGAGTATCTAAGAAGGGTTTACAGTGCCATCGTCTCCCCTTAGGACGTGGACTGCGCCTACCTGCGCAAATCGGACCTGGAGGCCAACGTGGAGGCCCTGACCCAGGAGATCGACTTCCTGAGGCGACTGTATGAGGAGGTGAGGGACCACAGAGGAGTGGGGCAGCAAGGAGGATGTGAGTTAGACATTGGAAAGGACTGGTCACCATTTGGCTTCTGAACGCCATGGTGGGGCGTGGGGACTGCAGAGCAGAGTTGAGAGGCCCGAGGCAGGTTTGCTGTCAGAAGGTGAGGAAGAGTGGCTTGACCTCTCCTCTGCCAGGCCCGGGCAAGCTGGTGTTCCTGGCTACTATGAGACAATTATCACAAGTTGGTAAACTCTGGTCCTAGAGCCAGAGGTTCGAGTAGGTAGGCCCTGACCGAAATCAGGCAGCGGGCCTCTCTCGTAGACTCTACCTCCTCGTTGCAGCCTGAGGAGCAATAGCTGGTCCCAGGGTTGAGGGGGAAGACTGCTATATGGAGGTGGGCTTCAGACATGGGGCTGTCAGAGGAAGCAGGGAAAGGGGACAGTGAAGGACTGTGAGCCGGTGGGCTGCCAAGAGTGGGACGCTGGTCTAAGAAGCTCTTCCCGCTCCCTGTCCTTTTGTAGGAGATCCGTGTTCTCCAAGCCCACATTTCAGACACCTCGGTCATCGTCAAGATGGACAACAGCCGGGACCTGAACATGGACTGCGTCGTCGCCGAGATCAAGGCTCAGTACGATGACATCGCCACCCGCAGTCGGGCCGAGGGTGAGTCCTGGTACCGCATCAGGGTGAGTGGCACAGGACACCTGCCTCCTAGACACAGCAGTGGGAGGGATGCAAAGTCTCTACTAGAAAAAGCTTCTTTTGTGTGGAGATTCAGATCCCCAGGGATGGTAAGAGAAGGGCTGCCTCTCTGGGGTTGGGGTGGCAGGGCAGGACTGCCAAGTGTGGTAGCACAGGCTGAGCACT